ATAAGAGGCAAACATGAAATCGGCCTAAAGTTATCAACTATACACTTCCCCTCCTGACATCTTTGACACAAAGAACCGTTCTACCATAAGTTAACCACTGTGGTACCTCACAATCACCACCTACAATCTCATTCAACTGCCTAGCAATCCTCTCATGACATGCTGTCAAATACTTTAGCCAATACCCCTGCACCCCATCCATCCCTGGTGTCTTCCAATTTGCCATCCTCATACTCCTCTTTCTTATCATACTAACCTCTATCTTTACATCTTCTTGTCTAGAATACCCAACCCTCTTCTTTACCTCCTTCAGCCATTCTGCTCCCTTGTTGTGAACCACACCACTACCCCAAATACCTTTCCAAAACCTAACACTGTCAGCAGCATTTGGAACTATTTTCTCATTCCCTAATTCTCTGTTAATCTGTTGATAAAATCTCTTCTGATCCACTTGAAACAATCGGTTCTGCTGATACTGCTTAATCCTCTGTTCATACCGTTTAACCTTCATCGCTTTTGCATTTAGCCTCTGCTTCAACTCCTCCATCACAACTTTCACTCCCTTCTTCTTAATACCAAGCCTCCTAACCAAATCCCTATATTTCCACTCTTTCTTTAAAGCTCCCTTTAACTTCTGGTCTAATATACTTATATTTCTTCGTAGAGCAATAATTTGCTGCTCCAGCCTCCTCTTCCAACAAGGTTGTTCCCGTTTCTTCCCACCATCACCATTCGGCACCAGCTGATTTTTTAAACCTAACTTTCTTGCAATAAAGACACTAACTGCATATACTAGCCTATTCGTCTCACTAATTGTATTTGTTCTGATATACGTCAATGCCTCATTTACTCTAGATGTTTCCTTGGACAACTTTTTCCTATCGACAGTTTTGAAAGCAAACTTATACTTTTCACTCCCGTCTCCCAGCTCATCATATACCTTCACTATTTCCTCACAAAGACTTTTCACCTCGCTAGGCCCATCAACCACATCAATGAACAACCCTTCTTCTTCCAGACTGACACTACCACTTTCCTCACCACTACCACTTTCCTCAACACTACCACTTTCCTCAACCCTAACACTCCTGTCCACACTATTTCTAGATTCTTCACCCACATCTTCTGTTACTTTCCTCCTAATCTTTTCAATTTCTACTTGACTTAACCAACCATTCTTCCTAATAGCTCTCACTTGATCACACAACCTTTGCTCAGATATTCCTAAATCACCTCCTCTGACCTTCCAACTCTCATACATCCTTTTTCTGTACCCCCTAACTGACCTGCCATTATTATCCACAGAATTAGATAAGTAATAACATTCCATTGCTGCTACATTCATGGCCTTAGTCCACCTGATTCTCTGAAGACTTCTTGAAGAAGACATTTTCTCAGCAGCTCAAATACAACTGGACTTATTCTGCTGTAC